TGGCTGGAGAGTGATACTGCAGTCCAACTCTTAGACATTGTGAATATTCTCTCTCAGAAGTAGCAGGTGGAGTGGCTGGGTAGTGAGAGCTGAAAATGTGCAGTCAGAGTCTTTCAGTCAGACTGAGGATGGAAGAGGAGCTCCCAGGGATGAATAAATCCTACAAAAGCACCTGCTTGCACTTTTCTTTATTCTAACCCCTTATTTCTCCAAAAGTTTTGAATTAAAAAGTAATTTTGTGGCCCTCTCCATCTCTTTACCATGGAGTCTCCTATCTGATTTTAAACTAAAGTCAATGGTAAAATAGGACCCAGAAATTTGTTTTATATACAAATTAATTATAATTTTTTTTTGCTAAAAACTGATCTTCTATTTTTTCAACAGGAATGTCTGTCTAGAGATTGCTGCCTTCAATTGAATTTATAAGATTTCTCAGGACCTGCCCATTTTCTTTTAAAGGGAACTAATCTAGAGTAGAATTCTGTTTCTTTTTTGCTATAGTTGTACCACCTTAAGTCTGTGAGCCAGCTGAAAATAAGAAATGGCACGGACCCACAGGGTCACATTTTGGTACTATAACCTAAAGCAATCATTACAAGTCTTAGATTGCATCATGAAGGTTAGTCCTAATTTGACCTGATAGTGGAAAGCTCTGTAAAGTGAATTGTGACAGTAACTATTACAGCAGCTGGGCACAAAGGGATCATTGATCTTCTTTCACAAGGATCATGAAAATTCTTCAGTGCTTTCCTCAAAGCCCAGGAATCATTTGCATCTGTATGGCAGACATCACTGCATGTGAACTCCTTGACCTGCAGATTGTAGGATTCAATGAGAACCACACTTCATTCTGAGACGGTTAATTCCCTAGCTCCATTGGATGAGAAATGTCATCCTCCAGGGACCCCACCCTGACCCTTCCCCAATATGCAAACTTTTAAAAGTGGCCTCATGCGTGTTTTGAAATCAGAAAATCTGTATTTTGAAATGACATGACATAACAGCTGGTCAGCTGGCTAAACCCGTCAACCTGGTTTTAGATGAGATTACATTCCCACATGGACTTGTTTATTGTGAACATAAGATAAAGAAAGAACAGAAATCTGTAACACTATTTTTATTATCTATTTTCCTTTGTTGCATCAATTTGTGCTTCCCTTTAGACAAACTGTACATTTTGTAGGGTTAGGCAATGAGGGGAAGAGAAATGAATGAGCAAAGTTAAAATTTTCTTAAGTTTATCCTGAGGAATAAAATAGTATGACTATGAGAAATATATAAGACTTTAGAAAATTTCTAACATTGTAGTATTAATTAAATGTGACTCTTTCATTTGTTTTTCTTGCAGGGATTATCAGTAGAACCTTTAACAAGTGAGACACTCCGTGTCCCCATTTTGGGGACAGTAAGGAAGTTAGCAATTCAACAAAATGCATCCTACTTCACAGGCAGCTTGGGGGAGATGAAGGAACCCTCAAAACAGAGTAGGCAGTAGTTTTTAAAAAGGTAAAGAAAGCAAGCTGAATTTCCAGGAGCATGGCAAGGAATGGTTGCCAGGCTAAGAAGTGCCCCCTCGACTTAGGCTTGTCAAGCCTTCTATAGACAAGATTCCTGAACTGCATAGAAAAATGAGCTAGACAGCCTCAAAAGTTTCTTCCTAATATAATATTTTCCTAACATCATCCTAATCTAATTTAATCATCATGTCTATGGTAGAAATATTTAAAGAGAGATTTAAAGATAAATTTTGTAGTTTCTGTGCAATTATAACATGGTAATTATATGTTTAAGTCATAATTGAAATTTCTGCAATAAGAATTCTTGAAATTAAGTGGCAGCTTTGTGGAATTTAAGTCATTTCAATGGGCTCTTTTCCTTAAAATAGCATTTAACATGGACCACATACACATGACACAGACCAGATCCTGTAAGTGCTTATTGATTTACAGATTTATTGTTTTATTTAATATTGTCTTAAGGGAAGAACCAAATAATACAATAAAAGTGACTAGGAAGTGACTAGGATTTTGATCTCTGTAGCCCTTACTTTCAGATTGCAAATCTCTGGAGACTGTATTGAGTCTCCGATAACATACGAGGATTTGTATTCAATAAATCAGTTACTGAGTAGGTTGTCTCTCTCGCCTTGTTCTTTTTCTATAAGAAACAAGGCCTGAGATGGTATGCTGAGTTACCAGGATATTCATATGTCTGGATCATATATGAGCTGGATATGCAGAAAGTACTTGAAATCTCAGTCTTATTCAGTGCCAAACAAAAATCTGTACATTAGTATGAGGAATCAAATACCTAAGCTCCTAAAGTTTTCATCTGGGACTAAATCAAAGGCAAGCACCAAAGACAAATGCCTATGACTGAATACTTTCAATTCATTGGATTTTTTTCCTGGACTCCTTCAAATTTTAGAAAAAGGTACTAACAACAATGAAAAGGTTTAATGAACAAAGTAGGATATATCCTTGGATCATCAAATCCAGACCAATCTCTTCACACTATACATCAACAATTCTAGAAATTAAAAATGGAAATTCAGAATTACAACTGTAGCAGTTAATATTGTTTGAGCATCTGCTATATGCCAGATATGATGCACACTGTTTTATACACATGATCACATTTAATCCTTTTAACAGTCCCATATGTTAGCTACTGTTACTAGTCTCCTCTTACAGATCGTGGCTCTGAAGCTCTGTGAGATCATCAGTCATCTACTTAATAAGGTGGGGAAATGGACTAATATATTATTCTGTAAAATTATCAAATGCAAAACAAAATAAGAAAAAATGTTCTGATTAATCATCATTAATCAGAACCTCCTAATCCCTGAGCATTCCTTTTGATCAAGATCCTTGATCAGTATAGTACTCAAATGATGGAGATGCATTTGAAATCTATTTTAAGTAATATTGATATAATCAGCATCAGAACTTTTAAGTTGTGGCATTAATTCTTGATTATCAGCTGTCAAGTCTTTAACTACAGGAATTAATAGAATAAGTCACCTACCCCCATTTTTGAGTGTTAATTAATTCATTCAACATTCACTATTTGCAAGCATGGTGCTGGATACCAGGGATACTGTTGTGGGAAAGAGTGAGAATGAGAGAGAGAACCTCACTAGAAAAGCTTACCAGCTTAGAGAGAAAAGATTTTTTTAATTCACTTAGAATAATAAGATAATCATAACTTTACATATTTTTATATTTAATATATATAAAATGTAACTTTAAATATATGTTAGTCAAAGTATATATATATTTGTGTGTGTATACATATATACATATATATGTATACACACACTTATATTTATCTTTGCAACAACCCTGTGCAATGCTATCACTCCCTGTTTACACATTATGAAACTAAGACTAAGGGAGATTACATGAATTGCCAAAGCTACGCAGCTAATAAAGGACAAAGTTAGGATTTGAACCCCAATCTCTCGGGCCCTGAAGCACATACTGTTTCCACTATACCATTCTGTCTTTCAAGGAACTTGTTTTGGTCAGTATGATAATACAGAAACAGTTTTGGAATAGTACACTAATCATATTTGACTCTGGGACTACTCAGGTGTAAGAAACATCTTCATTTGTAAATTGTATAAAAATCTAGTTCATTGAAATAGTTTTGGTCATGATCTGAATGTTTTTTTAATACACAGCAATCAGTGTTTGTTTCTTTAGTTCTAGCCATGGTAGGGATTTAACAGGATGTCGATATGATGCTGAGAGTAGTTTACTTAAATTACAGAAGCAAGTTGTCATTTTTTCACTTAGTTACTCAGATGATGTAAAGGAAGACTGACAAGTCCCAAAAGACATTTAATGGAAGTGCTCCAAGTGGAGTCAGATTGCTGAAAAAATCGTACTTTCCACTTGGGCTGAACAATTAGCATAGGATACTTTTTATTGGAAACAATAATGTAAAGTCATTTTGTTAGAACCTTAGCATTCATTTTACGGAAACTTGATCGACTTCTAGCTGACTGGATTCCAAGCTTTTATTGACATTTTACAACATTGCCTCAAGAATTGTACAGCTGCAGCCCATAGGGAAATTAAGGGTTAAAGAAAGAGCCATGGCAGACCAACCTGATTCCTCTTTTGATAGGATTAGAGAACCAGTAGACAGATAAAAGGCTTAGGAGAGATTGCCTAACTTTGGGTTTTAACAAAGCTTTTGATTCCACATTTCATGAAGTTTTAATTGAAATACTCAAAATTCCAGGCTGCTGGAAGAGGAGTAAGAAGCTATCTCTGCTCATTCCTGATGGAACCGTGAAAGAGTTGGAGAGTAGATAATACCTTTGGCCATTATATATGGTGCAGGAGCAACTAGTAAAGTGACCAGGCTTCTGACACATTGAAGAGCATGGGATTAACACTACGTAAACCTGAGTCATAGCTCTTCATCACTTCAACTACTAAATACCACCTTATGAATTCCGTATCTTTATTTCCTTTTCTCATTTGCTGTGGAGTTATGGTTTTCTTTTTGGAAGCCTCTGTATGATTGTTGGAGGTGACTTTGACACAAGCATAGTCTGATGAGTATGTCTGCATCAATTCAACAACCCTTGCAATAAAAGAATGTCAAGAAATCACTTAAGGGATACATGGCCAAGCTTTTAAGGAAGAGTGGGTCCAACCATAGCCACATTTAAAGAGGGTCCTATCTCTTTATGGGAGAAGGGAAAAGATAATTGATAGCTTATGGCCAAAAAATTGTTAATTTCCCAGAAACAGGAGGGATCTTACAAATTACAGAGTCACAGTGTTATAAGAGCCTATATTTTAATTATTTACTTGTCAACAAGATCTGTAAAAATTACAGAGGGCAACTGGTTTTAAGGAATTCTTCTATCACTCCTAGGCTCTTAAGATTTAGAGTTTTCCTGTAGTGGCTCACATAATGAAATATGGAAACATCCCAGTCCTTAATGGAGTCTGGATTTTGGCTTTCTTTTTCTTCTTTAGGATTGAACCAGCTGCCCTTTGACCCTGCCAACAACAACGAGCCCCTGCAGTTTGGTAGTGCCAGTGGCCCTCTGGTCACAGAAGGCCTCATTGAGAATGGAGGGGAGTCAAGCAAGAAAAGAAAGAGAACAAATGCTCCTTCAGGTAAGCTAGGCAATAATGCACTCTCATAAGCCAGTGTTACTGAGTCAACATTTCCCATAGCCTAGTATGTTCTGGGCACTGTGATGGGATTTGTAGGAACTACAGAAATGAGAAAGAGTACCCTGCCCTCAAGGAACTCATGGTGGGATGGGGGTGGGGGAGCACATACAGGAATAACTGATAATAAGATACAGTATCATCAGTGCTATGGTAAATGTGTAAAAGGAAAAACAACCTATGGAAGCACAAACGGGGGAAGAGTTAATTCAGCCTTGGACATCATGGAACACTTCACAGGAGAAGTGATATTTGTATCTGGTCCTTGAATGGGTAGACTTGAGACTAAAAGAGATGAGTAAAGAACATTGATTTAAGTAGAAGGAATTGCGTGTGAATTGTTTCACTGTACATTTTCCTTTGTATATATATGTAGCAGGCCACCCTCATTTGTACTTTGAAAGCAGATAACTGCATATATCTGCATCTCCCCACCCCACACCCATTTCCCTCAGGACATGCTATACCTGCACATGTTTATGCCCTCATAACTCAGAACAGTTGCCGAACAGATTTTCCTAAATCCTCTATAACAGCCAACTCAATTTTTAGCCTCCCCTGCAATGCCCTCATCCTTCATGTTCAATTGGCTTATTCTCATGTAAAATTTCTCCAGAATGAGTGGGAAAACAATAGGAGAACCAGATCTTGATTATATGATGTTTTTAAATTTCATCGCTTTGTCACTTGACCAATTATGAAAATTGTATCCGTAGTATATGGAGACTGATCTGAGAATAGGCCTAATAGACATATTCCTGGTGTTTTTGTTTTTGTTTTATCCTGCTTTTTACTATTACTTTTACATTTGGCTTATGACATGGAGCATGTCTACAAACATAACATCATATCTGACTCTTAGGCCATAGGTCTTTCTGTTTATAAATCAAGATATTTGTGAAATGCCAACTTGGAAAACAAAAATACAGTTAAACATCAGCTATCTGAAACCCTCAAAAAAAGAGTGATTTTTAGAGCACTGTATTTTCTGGGGCACTGGAAATGCACAGGACACAGACCAGAAACTGGCCTGAATTCTAATCCCGCTCTATCTCTGCACCTTGGGGTTGGTTCCTGAGCCTCTCTGAGTTTCACTTTCTTGAACTATAAATGAGAAAGTATACTAAAACCTACCTATTTGGATTGTTAGTAGATTTAAATAAAATTATATTGGTAAAGTGCTTAGCATGATATGTGCACCCAGTAATCAATAAATGTTGCTATTATTTTATTATCATTATATGATAATATTATGAACTTCAACTTCTTAAGCATCAACACATTTCACATTTTTAGATAAAATCAAAATCATTTATGTGTGTGTGTATACTTACCTGCCTTTTTCAACATAATCTAAACTTTGCTTGATCATTTAGAGGTGTAATTCCAGTCATTAGTTATTGTACTATGCTCTCATACTCAGAGTTTCCAGGGTTTACTAAGGAATATGGGCCTTTTAACTCTACACTAAATTGGCCTAGACTGGTGGCTTTTTAGTTATTACAGCCACATTTTATACGTGTTCTGTCTCCCTTTCTGCAGTCTGCAGGCACTTCTAGTTTCTCTCCACATCCCTTTCTGTAGCAGCTTTCTTTCCCTCCAAATCAGTTAAAAACTCAAAAAGAAAAAACCCAGCCAACTCCAAATTGGTGAGTCAGATTAGTATGTTAACTAAGAGTTAAATCAGCTGTAACAGAACTCGCTATGAAGAGAGTTACTGGATTTAGGGCATCCACTTTAGACATCTATTTTGGCTGCTCCAAGGCCTTTTTAATCACTAATAGTTTTTCCACTGTGTTCATGACAAATGATGTTCTAGTTTAGAGTAATACTCCTGAACTACAGTTAATTCATGAGGGTGGGGAAAGACAGTTGGAATACCTTGGAGAAGGTAGCTGTGGGTAAAATTGCAATTTTTCCAGAATCTCTCATGTGGCTTTAGTGCACATGGTACTCCAAATGCGTTATTCTAAATTATGAACCAGCTTTAAAGAATTGCAGTTTTATTTCTAATGAGCATATTCAGTGAGAGCAAAATGACTATTGGAATATAGGATTTTAGCAGGAGATTATGCTAACCTCTAATTAGCAGAATCAATTTGCATTCAAATAATGAATATGCTAAAGTTCTTAAAAACCAGTATGTTCTTAAAAATAGGTGAAATAGGCCCCTGGCAGTCTAAATTAGCTCGCTTGCAATCTTTTTCACACGATTTGCTTACTGAACTCTTTCTTTGTATGTAATACAAAGGTAAACTCCAGCCCAGGTTAAATTATCACAAATTCCAAATCAGTGTAGTCCAAATTAATGAGGTCTTACCACACAGGGAATCTCTTATAATTGTTCACCTGACAATCTTATGGTATGATAAATGGGTAGATTGCTTTATAATAGTAATTTTCTTCCTATGCAATGCTAGACAAAAGGAAGAGGGAAGATATTTTGTGAGTAGGAACTTCCTTCTTTGTCACTCTTGCCTGCATCTTGGCAGGGAGGAAGGCCAGTTAGAGTTGGAAGTCCTTACAGGAACTACCAGCCGTTTCAGTTCTAAGCTGAGATACACATCGAGCCATTACATCACTCTCTTGCCACTGCAAGTGGAGGAGGGGGGCCTTTGCCTGTAGCTCCAGTTCCTTACTACTCTTCTTTTCTTCTTCCTTTCCCATCCTTCCTACCTCACTCTTTTCTACAAACTGCCTCTCTGCTTTTATAGTAAAATTGATTTCTTAAATGTCACCAGTGAGTCCAAATTGTCAAAGTCAGTGGCCTTTTGGCAATTCTCAACTACCTTGATCCGTTTGCTTCATTTGATGCTGTTATAGCCCACCTTCCTTGAGTTTTCTCTATTTCTGCTTTCCTTCATAATATACTTTGTACATTCTGCTTCCTTTTACACCTCTTTCCAGCATTCTTTCTCCTTTTCTTCCTACCTCCACTTAAAGTGATACTACTATCCACACTTAGAGGTGAAGAAATAAAGAAAGCCCAATTGTGAACATCTAGCAAGTGGGTTAGCCAGGCCTCCAACTCCAAAGCCTATCCTACTATGCCAGAACTACTATGTCTGTAGATATTAGGAATATGGACCCATCACTTAAATATATTAAACATTGGTAGACCCTAGGGAAAACAGAGTTTGTGTGAGAATAAGGTGAACAGTGCTTGGATTTGATCATCTCATGTTTCCTTCTTCTCAGCTCTTTTCTGCTACTCCCCCAAACAAGTCTTCTATTTCAGGCAAAGTGATCTGCTACTGTAACTCTGGGAAGGAAATCCCAGGGACAAAATACCTTTGAAACCAAAATCAGTCAAAGGGAGGAATAAAGTGGGAGAAACCCATTTATTTCTTACAAGCAGTCCTCTTCTGCTTCCCCATGTCTCTCATGACCAGGCTGCAGAAGAAGAGGCCCCTGCTCAACCTCTCCGGTCCAGATAAGCCCTCGCTCGCCCTTGTAATCACCTATTGATTTAGAGATGGACTACTTCTCTCTACCCCTTGGGAACACCTACAGTATGGAGATGCACTAAAGCCACATGAGAGATTCTGGAAAAATTGCAATTTTACCCACAGCTACCTTCCCCAAACGGTCACTGTGCCCACCTACTTTGTACCTTGATCATGCCATTTCCTTTGCCTAGCATGCCCTCCCTCTTCTTTCACCTGTCAAAATCCTGTCCAATTGACAGCACCCACTACAAGTCCTGGCTTCTCCAGCAAGCCTTGTGGATTATCCTGGTTAGAATTGTTCACTTGTGCCTCTGAAACTCCTTGGTCATTATAATCTATTGACATTGATTATAGACCACTTTAAACAATTGGTTATCTGTTCATATGCATATGTTTTAGCCTTTCAATTCAGCCCTTCATCAGAAGGGCCCTGACTCATATGTCTTTTAGCAGAGATATGGTGTCTTGCACACAGTAGGTGCTCTAGAAATATTTCTTAATTGATCATGTATCTGGCTGAAGAATTGCTTTCCTTTTGCTTTATACTGTCAATTATTCTGTTGTCATTCCCAAGGTAGAGCTCTGCACAAAACTAGGCACTCAGATCTAATGTTGATCACCTGACTGCCTCACTTGGCCCTAAAAGTCAAACTCCAGTCATTCATGAGATTACCTATTTATAGCAGCCATGCATCAAATCCGGGTATTGTGAAAAGAATACCTGGCCCTAATGAAATCCCTGCCTCCTTACTAGCTGAAATTTCATGAACACCCAAGAGATATTTATAGGTGGAGTTTGGGTGTCCTGTCACAACTCCTCTGTGAAGTAGATCAGTAATCTATATGAGATATTACTGCAGTATTTGGCCACAAACTCTTTCTTTGTAGACCTGGCTGCTTTGCAGCTTTTATCTTAATGTGAGCTCAGAATTCTTCAGTGTCTTCGCTTTCAAATCTCAACTTTTTCCCTTGGAAATGCTTCCTTGGTAATGCTCCAGCTACACAAATTGTCTAACGTTGCAATGAATCCACTTATTCAGATGATACTCTATGGCTAAAGAATAGAAAATTGTTAGAACCTTGTCAAATCGTAATTCCAAATTCCTGTCCAGAAGGCCAACTGCATCCTGGTTTGAGATTCACCTGTATTTGTAGAAGTAGAGATACCAACCCTCTTTTCAGATACTTCCATTAAACTGGAAGAACCCATCAGTCAACAAAATCTAATAACATTGTTTTAAGCAACATGCTGGTACATACACTAGTATTTAAGGAAAGTGTCAGCTTTCTGGAAGAGTGGGCAACTAACCTAGGGTAATTACGATACTAGAGTGATCATCCAGATGTGTACATCATTCCAGTTCCATTGTTTTCTCTCAGTCCTGTATTGAAAGATAGGTTTGCATTCAAATATGTGATAACTACTACTAAGCAGTATTGCCAAAGTTCATGTGAATGATGAGTACCTCAATATAAAAGACAGATCTTCAACCA